CAGATAGATGACTTCCTGTCTACATGACGGACGTTTAGGGAAGGAATTGGTTTATACAGATCCCCAGTAGGATACATCACAGGCAGCAGGATTCCACCTGAATTCCCTGCGACGCCAGATAGAGGAGAAGCTGTCCCCATGATAGCTGGGGGAGTAGTGATAATGAGTACCAGTATACACGATGAACCGCCAGGGAAGCTGAACCAGGTAGGGAGTGACGAACACTCGGCCACCTTGGGAAAACACTTTTACAGGGTACGTAAAGAGGGAGATAGATTGCCATTAAATCCAGGGAACCTCATATCAGTGGAAGGAAAGGCTACCAGGGCATGTGGGCCACTGGGTGGGAAAGTAAGGAGCCACTCAGTCAAGGCTAGACATGCAAAAGATGTTAAAGTTAAAGGAAAGGGTGCTAAGACCACCGGAACCAACAAGTTTACACCCCCAGAGGTCCATGCAGGGGAAACTGGACGGTTGAAGTTAGACCGGAGTCTGCTCGACGAGAGTGGCCGGACGGCACTTGTGTCCAGGGTCCACCGTGGGGGCATGCGGAAGGTGAACTTGATCTAGACTTAGTACCTACCTTCGCCGGTGGGAGTATGTTGGAACTTACTCGGTCCGAGAAGTCCCAACGGGGAAAAACACACCGTTCGAGGGCCCTTACACCCACCCAAAAACAAAAACACTCTCCCGGATTGACGAAGGTGGATGGAAGGTACTACTTAATTTATAGATTTACCCTTCAGGGAAGAAGTAGGTAGTTTATACTGTTAATACACTAATATTAGGATTATTGAGGCAACTGTAGATAATAATAATGTAGACCTAAGACCTTAACATAGGTAGTAATAGGCCGATAATGTAGGCAAACACTAGGTTATGTTAGCCAGGGAGAACTGGCAGCTCAAGTTTGAATGCTGGGGCATGGGGTTTTGAGACCACCATGCTTTCTTCTTAGACTAGACACCATCTGAGCAACACATGCCGTGGTCAGCAGATGGAGCCCCCCATGTGTCTTCACACATGAGACCTGGGGAAATCTGGTGGAGGCACCTCGATGTACCGTAGATGACCTCCTCTGTCAGGCCCATACAGTAAGACAAGATCTCCACTTTTTCTTAGGATTTCTGGCCAGTGTCTGGGGAAAATTGCGAGTGAGTTGAGCTGTGGCCTTTGTGCGGCCGGCAGTTCATGACCAGTACGTGATTTTGTCTCTTGTCCACCTAGAAGCTAGTGTCCATTTCTGCATAGTTATACTAGGGGATACACACCCTCTTGGATACAGGAATTTCTGAGGTGCAGGCAGGTCACTAATATCGACTGAATATTGCAGGAATTAAGGCTCCCGGTTGCACGTGGTTTTTGAGGGGAAGTCCAAAGGGGCTGTGTGTGTGCGGGTTGTGTGAGGGTGTGTGTGTGTGTGTGTGTGTGTGTGTGTGTGTGTGTGTGTGTGTGTGTGTGCGTGCGTGTGTGGGTGTGTGTGTGCGTGTGTGGGTGTGTGGGTGTGTGTGTGTGTGTGTGTGTGTGGGTGTGTGTGTGGGTGTGTGTGTGGGTGTGTGTGAGGGTGTGTGTGTGGGTGTGTGTGAGGGTGTGTGTGTGTGGGTGTTGGTGTGTGTGTGTGTGTGGGTGTGTGTGTGTGGGTGTGCATCCTTGTGTGTATGCATATATTTGTATGCTCGTGTGCACATGTCCGTGCGTGCACCCTCGTGTGTGTATGTGCGCGCGCGCGCTAGTGTGGGTGTATGATCCACTTAATATTTGTATTTATAACTCATTACAATTGTGACCAGGTGTGGACGTATCAGTGGTTCATTACTTTGTAATTTGTTCATGACTGTAACCATGTATAGGAGTGAAGCTGATTCATTACCTCTGTAACTTGCCATGATTAGTGACCAGATCTACCTGGAGTTCATTACCTTTGTAACTAGTTCAGCTATCATAACTTTGGGGTCCAGTCACTGGACCCATTATGTACCTTTGTAATCTTTTGACTACCGCCCACAGGATGGGTATGGGGTGCATAAAGATATTAAACAAAGTGTGTGTGTGTGTGTGTGTGTGTGGTGTGTGTGTGTGTGTGTGTGTGTGTGTGTGGTGTGTGTGTGTGTGTGTGTGTGGTGTGTGTGTGGTGTGGTGTTGTGACTCAACAATCAATATTTGCACCAATAACTCATTACAGTTGTGACGGGTGTGGAAGTGTGAATTGCTCATTACTCTATAATTTGTTCATGATTGTAGCCAAAGTATAAACGTAAGTAACCATTCTACAGAATTCATTACCTTTGTAACTTGTGAGCTCATTACCTTTGTACCTAGTTCAGCTATCAAAACTTTGGGGGCCCAGTCCCTGGACCCATTACGTACCTCTGTAATCTGTAAATACCTTTGTAACTTGTCATGATTGTGACCAGACTTACCTGGAGTTCATTACCTTTGTAAATTGTGAGTTCATTACCTTTGTAAATTGTGAGTTCATTACCTTTGTAAATTGTGAGTTCATTACCTTTGTAAATTGTGAGTTCATTACCTCTGTAACTTGCTCAGCTATCAAAACTTTGGAGTCCAGTCCCTGGACCAATTATGTACCTCTGTAATCTTTTGACTACCGCCCACAGGATGGGTATGGGGTGCATAATAAACATATTAAACTAAAACTAACTAAGCTTAGGGAGGTTGAAGATCAGGATATATGCTGCAACACCAAGTAAGTTAGTCCTTTAAACGTGCATGCAGGCGAGGTTTCTTGCAACATCAGTCATTTATGAAAATATGTCCTATAAGCCACTTGTGAGGCTGAGGTACCGACCTCAGAGCTCGGTGTCAACAGAGCTTGCCAGGGTAGGCGACTCACTTGGAGGCAGTCCAGACAAATTTTCACAGAAAAGCAGGGGTACCACTAGTACGATAAGAGACAACACAGTAAGTGTGAGGGACCCAAGACTGTTCAACTGCCTCCCAACATACATAAGGGGGATTACTAATAAACCCCTGACTGTCTTCAAGAACGCACTGGACAGGCACCTAAAGTCAGTACGTGACCAGCCGGGCTGGGGTTCATACGTCGTGTTGCGTGCGGCCAACAGTAACACCCTGGTTGATCAGGCCCTGATCCACCATGAGGCCTGGTCACAGACCGGACAGCGGGGGCATTGACCCAAGAGACCCTCTCCAAGTATACTCCGGGTATGCACTACCTGTTATACTATTAAGTTTAATCATACTACCTGCTATACTATTTAGTTTCATTACACTACCTGTCATACTATTTTATAATAATAATAATAATAATAATAATAATAATAATAATAATAATAATAATACGTATCTTTATTTCCACAAGTACATGTTCAAAGTATACAGTCGTAGCTGACATCAATGACATACTACTGTATAGAAAGCAGCCTGTTATGCAGAGCATTTCGGGCAAATTAGGCCAGTTTTGTCCCAGGATGCGACCCACACCAGTCGACTAACACCCAGGTACCCATTTTACTGATGGGTGAACATAGACAACCGGTGTAACGAAACACGTCCGATGTTCATGGAAATATGTGCCTTTGTCTGATTTTGGGGGGTTATCCTAGGTTCTCTACACATATGCTGTTATGTGGTGGCCCGGTGGCCTGGTGGCTAAAGCTCCCGCTTCACACACGGAGGGCCCGGGTTCGATTCCCGGCGGGTGGAAACATTCCGACACGTTTCCTTACACCTGTTGTCCTGTTCACCTAGCAGCAAATAGGTACCTGGGTGTTAGTCGACTGGTGTGGGTCGCATCCTGGGGGACAAGATTAAGGACCCCAATGGAAATAAGTTAGACAGTCCTCGATGACGCACTGACTTTCTTGGGTTATCCTGGGTGGCTAACCCTCCGGGGTTAAAAATCCGAACGAAATCTTATCTTATCTCTCTTATGTATGATTTTCTATGTAACTGAGGGTCTGGGTTCGATTCCCAGCCAGAGTAGAAACATTGGGCGTGTTTCTTTCCACCTGTTGTCTATGTTCCCCATCAGTAAAATGTGTACCTGGGTGACTCGAGAAATCGTAATGACACGATTGCAAACAAACCATACCCCCGGCCGGGATTGAACCCGCGGTCATAGACTCTATGACCGCGGGTTCAATCCCGGCCGGGGGTATGGTTTGTGTACCTGGGTGTTAGTCGACTGGTGTGGGTCGCATCCTGGGACACTTCACTGACCTAATTTGCCCGACATGCTGAGCATAACAAGCAGCTTTCTGTTTTTTTTTTTTTTTTTTTTTTTTTTTTTTAATTTGAACATACATACAGAGGTACAAAAAATACAGGTAAGAGCAGCATGCCAAAGCCACTTGTATGCATAGCATTACGGGCTGGCTTAAAATTAACTTAAGATTAACTAAGCAATGATGTAATCAGTGATAAAACATTATTGTAAACAGATAACAATAAAGCACAAATGAGTATTACAAAGACAGGTCATATGGTTGCATGAATTGATGTACATTCAGTAGAATGGAGTATTCTGTTAGGTAGTGTATTTAAAAAATATAGTAGTATGTCATTGTTGTCAGCTAGGCCTGTATACCATGTACATGTACTTGTAGTAAATAAAGATATTATTATTATTATACCTGAATAAAGTTACTTATTCTACCCTCGCCGGGAATCGAACCGTGTGAAACGAGAGTTTTAGCCACCATGCCTCAGGGCTGTGCCCACAGCAGGCAAACCGCAGCCTATGTTTCCATTTTGCCTCACATTTAATATTTTGCTTGAAAATATACTATATTTTTTTTATGCCACTGTAGACTGTTACTGTAGCACACTGAACTTAATATATTTTGCTCATGGCATATGGCAGAGTGAATTTTGTTTTCAAGCATTTTATCTTTGTTTTACATCTTGTAATCATAAACTTAGAATACATTCTGTAATTGCTGTTATGTGTAATTTACACATTATTTGTGGGAATTTTGTGGGAAAATTTTTACTCATTTGTGGGAAGTGGCAAGACTGGGAGACCAGCAACCTTTCCTGGTGGCCCTTAACAACCATCAACAATAGTTTCTTTTCTGCAACTCGTATTTTGTGACACGCTATTTTACACTAAGTACAAACATGGTAGATGTAAACCTTAGTGATGCAGAAAAAAGATATATTGTGGATGGAGTAAAGGTAATTTAAGCTGTATAAGTTATGATCAGACAATCTTTGTATTCTAAAATATAGTCCGACTTTTCTCAGATAGTCAAACAATAACTAACATTGCATGCAGTTTGACATTTTTTTACTAATTATTGGTGGGTTTTGTATTTTTAAAAAACCCTCACCATTGAATGAGAGCTTTTGCCACCAGTCCCGTTCTCACTCATGTATTTGTACAACTCATTCTTAAGATATCCAAGGTTAAAAATTTCGATGAACCCACACAAAACCCAAACCCTTTTTTCCCCTCTCGTGTATTTGTCTAACCTATTTTTAAAAATTAGCTACATAATTTTATAGTTTCAATCGCCTTACTTGGCAGACTGTTCTACTCAATAACAACTCTAGTTCCCAAACCAGTACTTTTCTACATCCTTTTTAAATCTAAACCTATCCAGAATTTTGCATTAATATTGCATCTTTCTCCCAAAATCCCAGATACAGTCTGATGGTGGTTGCTGGATTTGTGGTGGGGTTGTGCACCAGGTGTTCTGTACTAGTTGGTGGTGGTGGTTGTACACCAGTTGGTGGTAGTGAACCAGGTGGTGGTTGTGCACCAGATGGTGGTGGTTTTTGGTTGTGCACCAGGTGGTGGTGGCTGTGTAACATTTGGTGGGGGTGGTTTTTGTGCCCAGGTGTAAGTAAGGTTATTCAGGTATACACAAATACATTACATAGAATTATCATACATAGCAGCATATGTGTAGAGAACCTAGGATAACCCAAAAAAGTCAGACGGGTGACTTATTTCCATTGGGGTCCTTTTACCTATTATTATAATATAAAGGTTATACTTTTTTCTTATTATTCTATAATGAAGATAACATCTTATTATCATACTAAAAAGACAAATCTACTACACGAGGGTCATTAAGACTATCTACAATACGAGGGTCATTACTAGAAAAAGGTAAAATTTACACGTGTTAGCTAAAAAATAGAAAATCATTCCCCTCCCTTTCTGTAGCTACTTTTATCAGACACCTTTTGGCACTCTTCTTGAACGGTTCATGCTATGACTGGTTTTTGACATGTGCGGGTAGTCTGTTCCATTCCTTTATTGCGGGTACAACAAAAGGTGTTTGAAGCCTGGCCAATGACTGGGGGTACTACAAAGTTGTGGCTCTCTCCCCCTAGTACTATGATTGCTTTGGTTCCCAACCTTGAAAAAAATTGACAGCAAGATATTCTGGACACTGTTTGTGAGCAATTTTATAACATGATTTATCTTCAGTTGTTTTACCTGTCTTCAACATTCAGCATATCCAACTGCTGTAATTCACCCTGGCCTACATGTTCTCTTGGTCCCAGCCCCAGGATGAATCTTACATTTTGTTCTGGGTGATTTGCAGTCTATCTTTCAGTTTTTTGAAAGGCAGGTACCATGAAGAGCAAGCGTAATCCATATGACACGTATAATGCTAGACATAGGGTCCTGCGAGCCTCAGTGGGTAGACACTGTGCTTGTCTATACAGGAACTTCGTCTGGCTTTTCGCTTTCTTTACTAAAAACGTTCCCTATCAATTCTCCTGACATCCATGGGTAAAAGGGGGATTCCCAGATATTTTACTGATAAAACCCAAAGTGATGGGCTCCCCATTACACTGGACATTAAAATTATTTACCCTTCTCAGTTTATGTTTCGTGCCAAAGAGAATGGCTTCAGTTTCCCGAGGTTAATGATATTTTGTTGTCTACTAACCATTTGCTGCAGGACTCCAGTTCCTGAGTTAAAACATTAGCTATATCTTGTGGGTCTTTACCTGACACTAACAGGGCACTGTCATCTGCATACAGTAGGAGATTGCACTTGACACTGATAGGCATGTCATTGACATAACATAAGAATAATAAGGGACCCAGAATACTACCTTGGGGAACTCCACATGTTATTGGCAGGGGTTCTGATTCTGTTTTGTTGATTTTGACAATTTGTCTCCTGTTGCTAAGGTAGGACTTAAACCAGTCTACAGAACCTATACCGATAGCTTGAAGTTTCTTACATAATATATTGTGGTTGACAGTATCGAAGGCCTTTTGCAGGTCTTAGGTTACCATACCTATAAGATAAGATAAGATTTCGTTCGGATTTTTAACCCCGGAGGGTTAGCCACCCAGGATAACCCAAGAAAGTCAGTGCGTCATCGAGGACTGTAACTTATTTCCATTGGGGTCCTTAATCTTGTCCCCCAGGATGCGACCCACACCAGTCGACTAACACCCAGGTACCTATTTGCTGCTAGGTGAACAGGACAACAGGTGTAAGGAAACGTGTTGAAATGTTTCCACCTGCCGGGAATCGAACCCGGGCCCTCCGTGTGTGAAGCGGGAGCTTTAGCCACCAGGCCACCGGGCCACCCCAATGAGGTTCCCCTTTGACATTTCAGTTCTCAGGTAATCCATCAGATTAATTAGGGAGGTGTCGGTTGAGTAAGATCTTCTAAAACCCGATTGATAGCTATGGAGAATGTTGTTGTCATTAAGGTACTTAACTACTTGAAGTACACTGCCCTTCTAGAATTTTGGATATTATACTGAGTATACTAACAGGCCTATAGTTGCTGACATCAGACCTACTATTTTTTCTTGAAGATAGGAGTAACTTCTGGCCTCCTTGAACCCCTCCGGTACGTATTAGTGGTGATTGATAGATTTATTATGCGAGCAACAGGGATTGACAGTTCAGAAGCACCATCTTTTACGAACTTAGCCCGGGAAAGTTATCAGGGCCTGTGCTCTTAGTTTTTGGGTTTAACCTGTTAGTTCTTTTTTAATAAAGTCATGAGATACACTTACTAGTTGACAACTGTTTGGGGTTACCCCTCTATTGGTATAGTATGTTTGAAACTTATCAGAGTCTGTGTTAAAGGTATTTGATGCAGCTGGTAGTTTACTTACTAGTGTTGATGCAACAGATGTGTAGTAGGAATTAAAGCAATTTGCCACCTTAGATGTTTCGTGGCATACCTCATTATCGATAGTGAGTACTATGTTAGACCTATCTACTGGCTTATGGCTATACCCCAACTGTTTTAGTTGTAGCCAGAGCTTTGAGCAATAGTGCTTTGCCTTTGCTCCTTTTATAAGTCTCTGTACTCTGTTCCCCACCCTTTGGAAATCATTTAGTGCTGCAATATCCTGTCTGTTTGCTTTAAAATCTTTTTAGCAGCTGGTCTCTGAATTTCATATTATCTAATATCTCAGTAGTCATCCAGGGTTCAGTTCTTCGTTTAATCCTAACCTCTTTAACTGGTGCAATATTATCAAGGATGGTAGTGAACATTGTTTTGAATTTTTCCCAGGCATCGTTTACGTCCGTGCAACTTTTTCTCGTCCAGTCACAATTGTGTAGCCTATTTACCAGTGTTTCTTTACTGTAGTTTCTAGTTGACCTCATTTTTATTGTCCTGTGTAGGCCTATCCTATCCCTAGTGATTTTCCTGGTGCAGTAAATGATGAAATGATCACTAAGGGCTGTGGTAATGACGCCTGACTGACTAATATTCTCAGCGCGGTTTTCAAAGTATGTGGTCAATTAGTGGCTGAGAACTGTGTATCCGGGTTGGTGTATAATTAGTTGAGTGTAACTATTTTTTTAAACCCAGAATTGCTTATACCTTTTGCATAGCCCGTTATTTTTCTGCTGAAAACAGATATTGAAGTCTCCCAGTATTATTGTCTCGCAATTGTTTTCAAGTCCGGACATACCTGGAAAAATCTTCTAAGAACTGGTCCTGGGTGGAGGGCGGGAACTAGTTCCTACTAAGATGGGTTTGGTCTTGGGAAGCAGCACTTCAAACCATAGAATCTCCAGTTATTGTTATTTAAATCAGGTCTTGGGTTGTAAGCTAAGTCATTTCTAATGTAGGCACATACCCCACCACCCTTTCAGTTCCTATCTAAGCGTTTTATATTGTAACCTTCTATTTTGACCTCGTCGTCAGTCACCGTATCATCCAACCAGGATTCAGAGATGGTTATAACTGCCACCCTAATTTTGTTAGCTAGAATCCTAATCTCTGCCAATTTAGGAAGAAGTGATCTTGCGTTGGCGTGAATAAAGTGAAGGCCCGTTTTCATAAAACAATTATAATCATCAATATATGGCAATGGGTCATTTGTATTAAAATTAGGTAAATCAGTGTCATCATTGCTAAAGGGTAACTGTGCCAAAGTGCCAGGTGGTGGTGGTGGTAGTTGTGCACCAGGTTACCTGGAGTTTACCTGGAAAGGGTTTCGGGGGTCAACTCCCCCACGGCCCGGTCTGAGACCAGGCCTAATGGTGGATCAGGGTCTGATCAACCAGGCTGTTACTGCTGGCAGCACACAAGCTGACATACGAACCACAGCCAGGTTGGTCAGGTACTGACTTCAGGTGCCTGTCCAGTGCCTTCTTGAAGACTGCCAGGGGTCTATTGGTAATTCCCCTTATGTATGCTGGGAGGCAATTGAACAGTCTTGGGCCCTGGACACTTACTGTGTTCTCTCTCAATGGACTCGTGGCGCCCCTGCTTTTCATCGGGGGAATGTTGCATCTCCTGCTGAGTCTTTTGCTTACATAGGGAATGATTTTCGTGTGCAGGTTAGGTGCCAATCCCTCCAGGTGGTGGTGGTTGTGCACAAGTTGGTGATGGTGGTGGTGGAGCTGGTGCTAATTATGGTAGTTGTGATAAAGTAAAAGGACACAAGTGCAACTAATGTGACATTTTATTGTGGCAACGTTTCGCTCTCCAGGAGCTTTGTGAAGCGAAACATTGCCACAATAAAAGTCACACTAGTTGCACTTGTGTCCTTTTACTTTACATGTTGTCAATAATTATACCAAAATATATACAGTTGTGATGGAAAATAGACAAAAATGCAGTATAATGTGATCCATTATTAACTACATTTTGCCCACACAGTGGGATTTATCAAGTTATAAACAGACCTACCTGAGCAGAGAGTATGTGAGTATATATATGGAGCACAGTGTTGTGAAGGGTCAGGTGAGGAATCATGAAGTTGACTGCTGAAAAGAGGTTGGATTTGAGAAGGACTACACCACATGGGCCAGTAAGTAATTAAGTTTATTTCGGCACAGGCACATAAGTACAGTTATCATACACTGTGTAAATTACCTAGGATAACCTGAAAAAGTCAGAGTGACTTTATTTTCATTGTAGGAATGATGCTATGTAGGATAACAATGACATTTCCTAGCATGAGGTTTAGTTATGTTGTAAAAGCCATTGTTATGGTTGAAATTGTTCGAAACATGGATGAGTGATGATTCCAAGATCCTGCATCTCTGAGTGTCTTTTTCTCTGGTGATTTCACCCACTTTGAGTCACGTCTTAAGCCAGTTCCTGCTCCAGTTGACCAAATTTTTATCTCGCTAAAATAACTTCCATTCTATTGATTGAGCACAAGAAACTACCCATTCAGTTATTACAACTACCCTGTAGAATGCACAGAAATCAGTAATTTAGAAATTTTACACAAAACTATAAAATAAAAATTTAAGAATAGTCCCAAATAAGCAATGTAGACATTTCTGCACTAAAACAACTTTTCCTCTTTTCATTAGTCACGTCCCCAGGCCTCTCGTATGTTACATTTGCCTTCCTTTTTTAATTCATAATCGCACGAAAATAGAAGATGTACTCTGTTTCTCAGATAATAAAATATAAACAGGAACAATTGGTCATGTTTACAGTATTCCAGTAATTGAATCAGGCCTATTAAAAACTCCTAGAACAGATCGGGGGACCTTACCCGTCCTCAGGAAAATCGGCAAAAATCAAACATTTATGATTCTTAGATCCCTCAAGGGATATTACATGATGCTGGTGAGGGGCTTTTAATATAAGGAAGTGGATCTATGCTCCAGTTCTCTGAATTGAGCCTGAATACCCTCCATCCTCCCCACAGGCACTGTATAATCCCTATGGGTTTAGTGCTCCCCATGATTGTAATAATAATACTAATTACGATTCATAGAGCTCAGTTTCAAGGTAGTTACCATCCTGAAACCAACCAGAATCAACTACATTTCAATAGTATGTCTTCCATTCTATCAAATGATACCAAATAACAGCCAATAAAACAATAAAAACCCTCTGAGAAAATTCTGCAAAATTGCTATTTCATACCATTCATACAGTTGGAGTTTTGCTTTGTCCATCATGCACTGCATAAAGGCAGCACTTTTTTTTTATATCATGCATGTTCACTTACAGACCTTTTCTCTCATATCTAGGTCAAAATTTACTGCTCACAGCTTATCTGAGTGAGTTGAGCTCATGATGTAGAACTATGTGAGGGACCCTGGCCTCACTGACTGCCACTGAAAGGGGTTAAAAGAAATGAAGGTTAAATTTTGTAATTTAAATTACTAGCCTCTTATTTACCCTACATTTAGAGCATCCAATTCCATACTTAACAAAGGTTTGATGCTAAAGTAAATTATTTTGCCAACTTTAGCTAGAAATAATTTGATGGAAACTTAGTGGTCAGTAGAAAAGAATATACAGGAAGGCCCCGCTTTATGGCGTTTCACTTTACGGCGTTCCGCTAATACGGACATTTCAAATTATGACCAAAACTCGCTATACGGCTCCCCCCACCTGACTTTCTAATACGGTCACCGTGCCCCACCCTGTACTACAGTATAGGTCTTATAGCTTTGACATTATGTACTGTGATTAAGTCATGCTGTAATGTACAGCACATCCATAACATTATCTGTTGTACTGCACTTTAAATATTTGTCTTCCAAGAAGATGCAACCATGCTGTCAGTAAAGTGTAAATTGGAAGCCTGTTGAATGTTTTGTTTTGCTCTGGCAAGATTACTAGTTTTTTCTTTGTCTCATGAACATGTAGTATTTGCATTCAGTATGCACTTATCTCAACTTTCCTTTCAGTTCAGATAGTGGCAGTATAAAACTTGGCCTCCATGACACTGATCCCAGGAAACATTGAATGACAACAGTTAACAGATAACTTCTATACACATTTCTGATATTAGAAAGAGATCAAGGTGAAAAAAATTCACTGGCATTTTTCATAAAAAATGTATTTTGCATGCTGCAATTTTATTACTGTAAGTGTTTTTTATTGGTCAACAGCTAGGTACTCGTGTTGATGGTAGAGATCACCTTGATTATCGACAGCTTGAGATAGAAACTGGTCTAGTTTCTACTGCTAATGGGTCAGCTCGGATTAGGCTTGACCGCACAGATGTCCTAATTACAGTCAAAATGGAAATGGAACCACCGCTACTAGACCAGCCTAAAAATGGACAACTCCACTTCTTTGTAAATTGGTATGGTGCTCTATATCTTTGCATGGTACATTTAAAAGTAATGATTCCTTTTTTGTTAAAACTTAAGTGTCCACCTTCTTATATCATGGGAAACAACAAATTGTATTTGTAAAGAAAATAATTTTGCGATATAGTTATGGGAAGCACTAAATCCACATGGGTCTTTCAGCCTCAAGTGTGATGGAAGCTTCATCTTCTGTCTGCTGAGAGACATACAATATTACATTGTATGAAAATGAAAAAAAATTACTTTAAAGAATTTAAATTTGTTTAGGGGTAAATACAAGACAGTTAATGTTCCAAAATTATATTCCAGCTCGGCTAATGCTGCTCCAGAGTTTGAAGGCCGAGGGGGTGAGGATTTAGCCACAAGCCTGAGTTCCATGTTGGAACGAGTATATTCCTCTCCACATACACTCAACACTGCCAAACTTTGTGTTGTTCCAGGCAAGCATGTCAAAGTGCTCTATGTGGATATTGAGGTAATTCATGTTTTTTTTTAGTAGACTAAGTACTGTATCTACTTTTTAATTAGTATTTTTTTTACTACAATATTCTCTGTTGCATTTTTCTTAAATGACTAAATTTGAGCTTAATATTTATTTCCCTCCAACAGTAAATAATTTTTAAAGGTACAGTTGTATATTATAAATGTAGGAAGGACAAATAAATAATTTGCAGTTCTCTAGTATATGATAATTGTTTATTAAGATGTTGGAAAGACTCCTTTTAAGTTGCCTTAGAAACCAAGGTTTAGACAAAGTTTATTAAAGTGTGTACTAGCTAATGTACAGTATGATATTATAAATCATATTCTGATTTTTGTGTGTTTCAGAGACCATATCACTGATATTTCACTTTGGTTGACATTCTTAAAAATTAATTACCAAATTAAGACATTCTGATGTGGTAAAGTCATCATGTCAAAGGAACATTAGATAATTGAATCTGTTTGCTGACTGCCATCTGTAAAAGCATTATATAATCAAAATTCATGAATATAACAACACATGAATTTACTGGGACAACTGTACTATACTTCATGTATTGACATCATGATTGCTCTTCTACTTTATCTCTTTAAGTGAAAAGGAATAAAAGTATATAATTGTATGTAGAGCTATAACGTACAGATATTTGTAAAA